CACCCTCCCCGAACCGACCTCGATCTTGTATCTCGGTCCGACTGTATCTCCCCCGAGGTTGCCCCTTGGCTTTAGAGTCATAACTCGGCTCCCCGGCGGCCGTTCGGGACGATTCTAACACCCCTGGAAGGCCCTCGGCGAGGCGCAGCTGCTGGAGAGCACCCAGAGGCTGGAGAGTCGCTGAGAGCCTGCGAAAACGCCCGACACCTCGAACCTGGACCGAATACCTCGGTCCGACTGTAACGAAAAGGGGGGGAGCAAACGGGGGGGGGGGGGAGCGAAGCGGCTCACGTAGCTGATTGCCCGGGCGCCTCCTGGCCACGGGAGGCGCCGATGTAATCATCGAAGGGCGGCGCCCCGCGGCACCAACTGCGCGCGGCAAATTCCGAACCCCCCTTCTTTCCTGCCACCCCTCCTCTCGTGCGAGCCGTGTGACGTACAACCAACCCATGTAATAAGCACGCACGATAAGGATGCAAAGGCCTGGAAGGGCCATGCCGACACTTTGCGAAGCGGGGCGCGGCCAGCGTAAACGGCCAAGGATGGGCAGGACGTCTGCGTCCGAGGGGAATAGCATACTGGCTCGTTTCCGCCGTCGGACGGCAATCCAGCCCACCACCCCCAAGTCTGCGGCCGAATGGAACGTTGACGCTGCATCTCCTGTGTTGTCACTTTGGCATCCCAAGCTCGTCGCTTTGTGGCCAGATGGCGACAATCGTCGAGCCCTCCTCGGCGCGGGAGGTCGTAGCGACGGCGGAGCCCGCGAATTCGAGGCGAAAAGCAACAACAAGTTCGAGGCACCTGCACACCAGATGTCATCGGGCTGACGCCTTCCAATGCCACTCGAGACATGTTCCGCCATCGGAAGATAACTACCTTCACCCAGTCCCAATTTTGATTCCGCGGGGAGCCCCATGGATCTGAATTTTGTGATACTGTCACTGCGCGAACGCCAATGGTGCCCCACGTTGAGTACGCGGCCTCATTCGATATTGCCATCATATCATGCCACAGTTGGTAAGCTTCCCCCCCCTAAGCATGTGGACGCTGCGACTTTGTCCACCGCCGACGTTGTCCGACCATCCACCTCAGGAACCTGATATGAGGAGGCGGCGGGAAGATGATGAGAAGGAGTGAAGCGGCGGGGCAGGCTCTGATGATCCACGGGGTAAAGCCTTTCTACAGCATGCTTTTGGTCAAGCTGCTGGTCTACGTTCTGGACAAAGGACAAGGAGTCGTACTCAGCAGTTTCAATAGTCGAGTGGGCACAATCGAACGATCAACGACACGTATGTCACGCCAACGGAGGTAAGTTGCCAACTGTTCTTTCCAATTCGTTGCATCAGAAACCACGCCAGTCCATGCATAACCGCACCTGCAGCAAAAACATGCAAGTCTCAATTTATCACCGCCCCTTGCAAAAACGCTGTGGAATCCCCTGCCAGCCACCATTGGCCCTTGCAAACTAGTGAAACGACGATACTCTTGCAACGCAAAACATTTTGGAACCCTGGGCGTAAGGATTGCCCGGCGCACTCGTGGAGCTGCTTTCTCCAAACTTGCACACGCGATTCCACGCTGTACTGATTCATGATTCGTGATGTCAGCTGAAGACGTTTTACACCAAGTACACTCTTCCAAAAGAGCTGACCATCCAAGCCGCCATGATGTGTCTATGGACGTCTGAACAATATCTTGTAACACATTGGAAAAAGCTCCCAGGATCCAGAAGTTACCTGCGAAACGCAGGATGCCGTAAGTAACACGCCCCTCCAACTTTGACGCTCCAATATGCGCACTCCGCCTGGGACTCTTACGCACCAACTCCCCGCGCCAACTCCGGGAATCATGTTCCATACGTTCGGAACGTGTGCCCCCCCTGGCACAACGACCGCGCGCGCAATGTCCTTGCGTCAGACACCCCCGGCACGGACCTGGGACCCCACCTCTCGGAGGAGGAGGAGGAACAGGAGGAGGGGCAGACGAGGTGGACTCGAAGCTCTGCGATACCACGATGCTTACCAAAAACCATGTCGGGGCCGTCTGCTGCCCGCATGTCCGACCATGGACGACCCGATCCTTGGTCCAGCATCGGCCCAACCAGGATCGACCAGGTGGTACCCTGCGTCCTCCGATCGGCGGCGAGCGAGGGGGGGAAGAGCGAGGAGGAGAAGGCCTTTTTTGAGCGGGCGGCGGGGCTTCTCGGAAGCCCTCGCGCCTGCTGAGCAGTTCTCCCCTTGTGTCTTCAGGGCAGGCTCAGAACACTTCTCCGAAGGCCGAGGGGCTTCCCGGGGGGCCTTCGGAGCCTTCTGAGAAGGCTTGCTCCTGCTCAACTCCCCCCAGGCCCGCCGCCGATCCGGATCGTGTGGACACGAGGCAGCAGCACACCCTTCCAAAACCTCGGTGCGGCGACGGGGGTCCTGGGCGAGAACCAGTCGCGGCCGGTCGCCGCGAGCCACAGGTGCTCCAAGGAGCACCGCCCGAACACGGTGGTGACGCCCTGAGCGTCGCTGTCGAGCCGTGGAAGGAGCACGGCAGGTCAAAGAACTTTTTTTTCACAAGCCGTCCGTTGGCCTTGCTTTCGGACAGCACATTCTGGTTTCCACCTGCTCCTTCTCATCCTCTCTCCTCCTCTCTTCCCACTACTTCCTATGTGCCTCCTACCTCGGCATACCTGGGGGGGCGCGCAGTGTGAACCTGCCACCACTTTCGAGGTCTGCTGGGGGTCAAGGATAATGGAGTCCTACGCCAGTCCAGATTCGATTTCACAATGTTTGTGGGCTGCGATGTTTGACACTGTCGCCTCTTTCACGGGCTTCTGGCAGGCCAAGCAGCATAGATGGGGTTCCGCCCAGGAATTGGACTAGACCTCGCCATCCCTTGGGGGGGGTGCAAACTGCGAGACCGTCGCCGCTTTCGAGGGCTGCTGGGGAGTCCAGCATCGCGGGGTCCCGCCAGGAATTCAGAGTAGACATCGCCATCCCTGGGGGGCTGCGAAATGTGAAACCGTCACCACTTTCGAGGGTGACTGGGGGGTCCAGTGTTGTAAGGTCCCACCGAGGATTCAAGATAGACCTCGCCATCCCTGGGAGACTGCGAAATGTGAGACCGCGAAGTCGTCACCAATTGCACGGGCTGCTTCTTGTTCTAGCGGACTGACGCCATGCCGAGAATGCAGATTAGACGTCGCCATCCCCGGGGGGCTGCGAAGCGCGAAGATGTCGCCACTTTCGAAAGCTGCTTGGAAGTCCAGCGGAGTGACGCCCCGCCGGGGATTCAGATTGGACCTTGCCATCGCTGGGGGACGGGCGAGCTGGGCGTCGCTCGCTTTCTGCACTAACTCTGAGCAGCTCATCGTTCAGGGTGCCACAGCGACATGGCGGGTGCATCGCCAGTCATTTGCGAACCACCTGGGAGCATCGCCATCCTCCTCTCTCATCCCTTCTCCCTCGTTGTGGTCCTCTCCCTCCGTCCCCGTGTGTCCCTGCTGCTGCCACGTTGACTTTCAGGTCCATCTTGCGCCCTTCCCCCACCCCTCCTTCCCACCCTCTTCCCCTCCGGGCACGGGGTCTCGCTCCTCGACCTTCGGTTGCCGTCCTGTGGGTCGTGCAGCGCGCCGCGCGCATGTCGTGCAGCTTGCATAACCAACGGCGGTTCCTGCCCTGTCGTCATCCGCACTGTGGGTGCTGCGGCGGTCTCGGCTCTGCTCCTGTCTGCAGAAGTGAGCACCCCGCCAAACGCTAGAGGTGCTGGCGTTCAGCCTACGCATCGCAGGGGTGCTCTGTTAGTTTGCAAGTTGGGCCAGGCCCATGCTGTCGGGCAAGATCAGCCCCGCGCACGCCCCCAATGGGAACCACAAACAACGCATGGATCCAATGCTACGAACGCGCTACTGTTCGGCGGCGAGCCTGGGGGGAAGTGAGAAGGGGCGGACCTTTCGAGAAAGCTCGGAAGTCCCCTGGACTTCTGAGACGTTTTCCGAGCCTTCCCCGAAGACACCGAACACCTCCCGGAAGGCGGGAGGGCTTCTGAGAAGCCCCACCGCCTTCTGAGAAGACCTTCTCCTCCTCACCTCCCCCTCGCTCGCCGTTGAAGTGTGGGCCACGTGCTCTGCGCACTCGATCCGAATCGGCCGGGTGCGCCGCAAGGTGCCTTTGGGGGGATCGGCGGCACGGTCCGACGCGGTGGCCAGCCCGGGACGCGAGCGCACGGCGCCCCCGAGCGAGGGGAGGAGGGATGGCTCGAGGTGACGTGGCCTCGGGGCGCCGGAGCCCCGTCAGTGGGCCCGAATTCCCGGGGTCACCACCCCTGAGTTCAGGTCGGGCCTGTCCCCCCTACAGGCGGATTCTGGTCGAAACATGGAAGATACCCCAAACCTGCAAAACACTGCGAGACAGTGCTCGAGCAAAAAGTGCTCCCCGGACCATTTTCTGAGTATTTCTGAAAGTTCCTCCTGTGGAGGGACAAGCACGACCCAGCCCTGAGTGCGACGAACCAACAACACACACCCATACCCATAGGGGATCGGAGAGGGCCATGGGTGCGTGTTGTCGGATGGGGGTCCCCGCTCGAACGGGAGCGTTCCCCAGGGTCCGACAACCCGCACCCATACCCATAGCCAAACCTCCTCCCAACGACCTCCCCATGGGTATGGGTGTGTGTTCGTTCGTCAGAGTGCGTGGCGGCCGCGCGCGCCCATCGTGGTCGGTACCCTGGCGAGAGAACCTTCCACAAGAAGCCCAGCCCTGAGACCCAAAGGGGTACAGTCGAGGCGTTGACCTGAGGCACCCCAAATGAGGAACGAGGCCCTTTTCTCCATCAGTTGAGCTTCGACTTCCCATCGAAAATGTAAGGAGAACCTCAGGCGAGGTGTGGCACGATTCAGGAACACCGAGCCCCTCCCCAACGAAAAGGGTTCCTGCTTCAGCCCCGACTGCACCCCCTTAAATTCCTCGCCGCGCGCACGTGAGCCCTCCCGTTCCGTGGCTCCCCGCCGTCCACCGCAGCCATCGGGCACGAGGGGGTTCAGGCCGGCGCTCGAGGGCTGCGGCTCGCGCACTCGAGTGGGCTTCCTCGGTCATGCACCCTTGCCTGTGAGCACATCATCTGGACTTCATCGGCCCCAGGGCGTCCATTGGCTTTTTGGTGTGGGAGCGTCACGCCTTCCATGGCAGAACCATCGACCCTCAAGAAACTCAGGGTGAGCAGGGTGCTTCTCGGCATGGGTCTCCACTGTGAGCGTCCTGTACCTCTGGAGGATGCCTGCCGCACGGAGCGGGGCGGAGGACGGAAGGGTAGGGGCGCAATCATCCCGGAGCGTCTACGCCGAGGCAGCTTCAGCAAGCATGCGTGAGGACGGGCCGACGAAGCAAAGCCGCAATGGCCGTCTTGATGCGCTCTTGCTGCGCGGAGAGCACTGGAGGGACGAGACGAGGAGAGCAACTGGGCAATCGTGCGTTCACCGGACTGCCGCGCGCATCTTCACGACATTAAGCAGTCCCTCGAAACCATTCCCAGTGTCTGCGTGCATACGCTCAGACCCACCACAGGATGATCGAACACCTGCAAGCTGGGCAACCTCGAAGTGCCTCGATCGTTCTCGGGATCCGCCGCCTGCTCCAAGTCTTTGGACACCCGAAATGGGTACCGAAAGAATGGGTACAATGCCCAACAACAAATGTTGTCCCAAACCAACAGCGGCCGCTGTTGGGCAGGCGGCCTTCTGTCTCAAATGGACACAGGCCGCGGCGGCGTGGACAGCGAATCCTGTTCAGAATGAACAGGAACTGCTGTTGGGCATCGTACCCATTCTTTCCGTGCCCATCTCGGGCGTCCAGAAAGTCCATGTGACCAGACGTGGGCGTTGTTGCTTCGCAAGACAATGCTTGCACTAAGGCTTCTCACTTCCCTTCCAAAAAACTGGACCCGCCCGTGGCCTCGGTGGCCCCCTCCGGGTCCGTCGCGGCCCGAGGCTTCCCAGTGGAAGGGATGATGATGATGATGATGATGATGAGGAGGAGGAGGAGGAGGGAGGAGGGAGGAGGAGGAGGAGGATGAGGAGGAGGAAGAGGAGGAGGAGGAGGAGGAGGAGAAAGGCCCGTCCGCGGCACCGGCGGCCCCGTCCTCGCCCGTGTGGCCGCGGCCCCGCTTACATTCCCCCCGGTTGCATTGCAGCCGCAGTGCGTTGCAATCGCACTGCATCGCAATCGAACTGCATTCCATCGCAATCGCATTGCGTTGCAGTGGCAGTGCGCTCCACTGCTTTTTGTTGCTTTGCATCGCGTTACATTGCTTCGTGTTGCTTTGCATTGCGTTGCACTGGTTTGGGTTGCTTTGCATCGCGTTGAATTGCACTGCACAACATTGCGCTGCATTGATTTACGTTGCTTTGCTTCGGTTTTCATTGCGTTGCGTTGCGTTGCATTGCTTTGCGCCACGTAGACTGCACCACGTGGATTGCACCACCCAGATTGCGCCACATAGATTGCAAGATCAGTGTGTGCGGTCCACCCTTGCTTATTTCCAAATATTTGGCGCGGATCGAAAGTTAGAGTGCTGAGTCACCGTACTCGCAGGCGCGTTGACTTTGCCAGAGCAGCTCAACTGACTCCTGTACTCGCCCTTTCTCCCGCTCGCGCGTCTGTCCAACACGTACGCGACACATCACACTCTTATTGTGCACGAATTCTCTTGCAACCCTGCACGCATGTGCCGCATACACTGACAGGAATACTGTGATGCCAGCAGACAGGCATACGATAGCCAGCACGTAGCTGCCACTGTATGTGTGCTCGATGGTACTGTGATGCCGCACGCTCTGCGTAATGATAGCACCACCTACACGAACAACTCGTGGTGCAATCAATCCGTTCGACAGTTGCTCCAGATCATCATTGATGCCACACCCTGGCCACGCAAGGATCGTTGAACTAGTGTCGTTGACGCCACGCCTGAAGCACCATCGAAAAAAACCCGTGCGTGATTTGGAATGCTTCTCCGTCTGAGGGTCTGTAGGCGCACATTACTGCACACCACATATACATAATCATTCCTTTGGCTTCGCGTGGCATCGGATCGACAGCGCCCCTCTTTCGGGATAGGCCGACTGGAGGGAGAAGTCTGGCAAACTCCGAGATGCTTGGTGCCATTACATAAGCAATTCACATGTGCGCAAAGGTCGGAAGAAATTGGTAGACACAGGAAGTATGCAGGCGTCGGAAGCGGATTGGGCCTCCGCCCGCCCCCCGAAGACGAAGGAGAAAGGAGCACCGCTCGATCCTTGAAGCAGGAAGGCGCCTGAAGCAGATTGGGACCTGGGAATCAAAGAGAACACCTGCCTTCAACGACCGATATCGTTATGGACAAGTTCCCTGTCCTCCTGGGCCAGGCTTCGTGTCCAGGCCCTGCTTTTTGGGGGGCGGAAAAATACGGATACGTGTTGTCCCCGGACCTCTCTTGGGGTGCGTTCTGACCAGAATTTCGAAGCGAATCCAGCGGTGA